TTATATGGTTTCTCTCCTGTGTGGATCTTTTTGTGGCGATGAAGTCCGCTGTTCTGAGCAAAGGTTTTTCCACACTCCATGCATTTAAATGGCTTTTCCCCTGTGTGGATAATTTTGTGGTTTTTCAGGTCACTGCTCTGAACAAAGGCCTTTCCACACTCCATGCATTTATACGGCCTCTCCCCTGTGTGGATCCTTTTATGGGAAATAAAATGACTACGTTGAGCAAATGTCTTTCCACACTCCATGCATTTAAATGGTTTTTCCCCAGTGTGGATCATTTTGTGGTTTCTGAATCCACTGCTGTGAGCAAAGGTCTTTCCACACTCCATGCATTTATATGGTTTCTCTCCTGAGTGGATGATCTTATGGGAAATAAGATTACCTCTACGAGCAAATGTCTTTCCACACTCCATGCATTGAAATGGCTTCTCCCCTGTATGGATCCTTTTGTGGTTACTGAGGTCACTGCTCTGAACAAAGGCCTTTCCACAATCCATGCATTTATATGGTTTCTTTCCTGAGTGGATCCTTTTATGGGAAATAAGATTACTATATATTCTGAACTTGTCACCACACTCTCTGCATTTGTAGGACTTCTTCGCAGAGTGAATCCTTTCATGGGAACTAAGTTGCATGCTTGTTTTATAACATTTTCCACATTCCAAACACTTATAAGGCTTCTCTTTCGTGTCAATTATTTTTTGAGATGTAAGGAGGTTATTTCCAAGAGAAAGCATGAATGTCCCATTGTAATTTTGTCCACTGTGTCTTCTTATAGCATCTTCTCCTTTCTTTTGGGTTAAATAGTGTCCATTTACATGTAATTTATCTTTGATTAGCTGCACACTTTTCCCAATATATTTTTTCCTTATTTTCTCTTGTTGGGCAAGAAAGTCTTGCATCGGAGCATCAATGGAAGATGAGATTTCCTGATTCCAATTATTTAGTTGGTTTTTCTCATGGCTTTCAAATTCCATTCGAAATCCAAACTTTTCTGTTCCATCTTTAGCATTGATCACTTGGAACAGTTTACAGGAATCTTGATTCCCCTGTCCATTGTTACCTTCAAAGCAAAAGTGAAATGAAAATGTTAATCAGGGTAGAGAAGATTAAACTGTAGAAAGTCAAGTGAATTTCCTTTTGAATTTTACCAAAATTCCATTAGGGAGTATGTTTGCATGCTTACAGTGGTTTGATAATAGTCAGACATGCTGATTTCTATATTAATGAGTCATGAACGTTTTGAAAATATCTAGAAAACATCCCTCTCTTTACAATTATTTTTATATATACAATCTCACCTAAAGTCAGTTTTGAGTGAAGGAATAATCAGGGGAAACATGCAAAGAGGAATTAGGAGAAAATTTAAGATTTATTGAAATGGGTTAATTTCAGCGTGCTCCACGGCCTCTATCTGGTGGGACCCTTGCTCAGCCTGTTCCTTAATCCCAGTGATGAGAATTTGGAGCAAAATCCCTTGCTTGAAGCCTCCCATTGGCTTGTAAATGCTCTTTGTGCTGAGACTGGAAAGGATGGGAGGCTTCAAGAATGGCTATTTTTGCTGCACCAAAGTCTCATCCGCTTGCAAGGGCTCTTTGGCCGGATCTGGTGCAGGCTTCAGTTCAAAGAAATTGGAGGCCTAAACTACTTTAGGTGAGATCACACAAGACCAGTAGTGCAAGATCTCAGGGTACTAATCTCATGAGATCTTGCACTGCAGTGGCCTTAGGCCTGTGTTCTTTATGAACTGAGGACTGCATGGGATCTGGGGCAAAAGTCTTTGAAAACAAAGAGGCCTTTCCTCTGTTTAAAAAGCATTTTGCCTTGGATCTCAACCAGGACTTGGTTAGCACAGAACAGAGGCCTAAACTACTACAAGATCACAGGAGATCAGTAGTACAAGATTTCGTGTTACTGATCTCGTGTATCTCTCACCATTTTAGGCTTCTATTTTCTGCAAATGCCCCAAACCAGGCAAAGGAACCGATGCCTACCTATATCATCATAAGGTAAGTTCTGGAAGGATGGGGTGAGGGTATAGGCAGGATGAATGTTGTTGCAGCACGTCGGCTGTCATTTGTAAGTGTGAATGACAGCTGTGGTGCTGTAACATTTGTAATTTCAGGACTTGGGGGAGGGCTAGGTCGTTACTTGGAATGGTCGCTTAGTGAAATGTAATTTGGGGATGAGCTGTACCCTCGGAGGTTCTGAGTCACACTGCATGAGGCCTTCGTTCATGAATTGGATTGGGAGAATGTTCTTCCATGGCCTGAGCATGAAAGTTCTATTCTCACATAATTTGGGGAGGTTTCAGAGGACAAATGAAAACACACTCCTCTCACATGAACTCCAGAGGACACATAAAAGCACACCTCGTTCTTTTCAGCCTCCACAGATATGTTCAAATAAAAATGGAAAAATACAGATAAGAAATGGCACACAAAGCATCTAAGCAATGAGACATTGACTCTTTCCTTCCTTGGAGTACGAGAAGGTCAGATCCTATCCTTCTCCCTCCCAGGAGATGATATCTGTTTAGTGATTTTTTAAAATTAAAAACTGTCAGGATAATCTGTCGTCTTGAACTCTCTGACTGGGGACTAGAAAACTCTTACCCAGAGAGACCACGTTCCTATAGTTTTCAAACATGACTTCCGAATACAGCTTTTTTTGGTCAGAATCCAACAGAGGCCATTCCTCCTCAGAGAAATACACAGCCACCTCCTCGAAGGATACAAGATTCTCCTGAACACGGAAAACAAGAACAGAACAGGATGATTCACAAGATATGTTCATCGTCATCAATAATTCAGACAAGAGAATAGAAGGGGAATTCATCAAAGTTGCAGTCAAAACCAAATTGACAGGAATACCAACTCTACAGAAGATAAGGTGGAGATATAGAAGGATTGACAGATTGGGCCCCATCTAACAAAATGAAATCAACAGTGAGAAATGTAAGGTTCTACATTTAGGAAAGAAAAACCAAATGCACAGGCACAGAATAGGTGATACCTGCCTCAACAGTAGTAAGTGCAACAGGGATCTTGGGAGTCCTAGTAGACAATCCCTTAAACATGAGTCAGCAGTACGCTACAGTTCCCCCAAAAACCCAACACAACTATAGGCTGCATTAAGAGGGGCTTAGAATCAAGATGACATGAAGTGTTAGTACCACTTTATAATGCCTTGTTAAAACCACACTTGGAATGTTGTATCCGGTTTTGGTTGCCATATGTAAAAAAAATCTTGAGACTCTAGAAAGAGTGCAGAGAAGAACAACAAATGTTATTAGTGGACTGAATGCTGAAACATGTAAAAGAACGGTTGCTGGAAGTGAGTATGTCTAGTTTAATGAAAACAAGGATTAGGGGGTGACATGATAATATGTTCCAAGAAGCAATGGATGGAAACTATTCATGGAGTGTTAATCCACTTTATAATGTCTTGATAAGGCCACACTTGGAATACTGTGTTCAGTTTTGGTCACCACGATGTAAAAAAGATGTTGAGACTCTAGAAAGAGTGCAGAGGAGAGCAACAAACATGATTATGAGATTGGAAGCTAAAACATATAAAGAATGGTTGCAGGAACTGGGTATGTCTAGTTCAATGAAAAGAAAAACTAGGGGAGACATGATAGCAATGTTTCAATATCTCAGGTGGTGCCACAAAGAAGAGGGAGTTAAGCTATTCTCCAAAAGAACCAGAGGGCAGGACAAGAAGCAATGGTTCGAAGGAGAGAAGCAACTTAGAACTAAGGAGAAATTTCCTGACAATTAGAACAATTAATCAGTGCCTCCAGAAGTTGTAAATGCTCCAACACTGGAAGTTTTTAAAAAGATGTTGGATAACCATTTGTCTGAAATGGGGTAGGGTTTCCTGCTTAGGCGGGGGGTGGGACTAGAAGACCTCCAAGGTCCCTTCCAACTCTCTTATTCTATTCTGTTCTTTGTTTTCAGGAGAGAACCAACCTACAACAAAATAGAAATTTCCTGACAATGAGAACAATTAATCAGTGGAATGACTTTCCTCCAGAAGTTGTGAATGCTCCAACACTGGAGGTGTTTATGAAGAAATTGGACAACTATTTATCTGAAATGTTATAGGGCTTCCTTTCTGAGCAAGGGGTTGGACTGGAAGACCTCCAAGATCCCTACCAACTCTGGTGTTCTGTTCCATTGTTCCCAAATTCCCAAAGCAAAGACATGCACTAAGTTAAATGGCTGTGCTTTACACAAGGGCTTATTTTAGATGAGAAAATGGACAATTCTGAAAATTTGACTGAAGAAATATTTGGGGCAGTTTTTTTATCAAGTTCATTGATTCTGTAAAACTTTCAGTGTTTTTCAGTAAAAAAAAAAATCCCACTTCTGGATCAACTGATTTATCGCTTTATCATTTATATTGATCTAGTAGCCTGAGCCATTGGCTGAATGGGAGAAAACAAACAAGATAAAATTCCATGGGAAAGTTTGTTTCTCAGACTTTCAAAGCGGAAATGTTTGATCTCTTAATCGAGGCGCAAATCAGAGGATTAGAAATTATTTTGTAGCCTAAATACCTTGATCACATGCTTTTTGTGGCCATTATCTTTGGAATGTTAATAGTCTGCTTTATTTTTAATATGATTTACTTATTTTGAACAGGTTATAAACTAATTTTTTTTTAATGGTAACCTGGCATTTTTCATTAGCCTTGCACAATTCCAAGTCAAAGAACAACCCTAGATGATAAGCTCAAGATCTTGGCAGACTTGAACACAGGGAGTATCTAACAAAATGAAATTCAATGCAGAGAAAAGTAAAGTCTTAACAGTTAGGCAAGAAAAAACAAAACTACACATATAGACTGGGTGAAACCAGGCTCAATAACAGTAACTGTGAGAGGGATTTTGGAGTCTTAGTGGACAACCAATTAAATTTCTTTTTCCAATGTGTCACCACACTGTAAAAATGATGTTGAGACTCTAGTAAAAGTGCAGAAAGGAGCAACCAGAATGATTAGGGGACTAAAACATGAAGAACCGTTACAGGACCTGGGCATGGTTAGTCTAGTCAAAAGAAGAACGAGGAAAGACATGATGGCAGTATCTCAATATTTGAAGGGCTGCCACAGAGAGGAAGGGGTCAAGCTGTTTTCCAAGGCACATGAAGGCCTGGATCAACGAGAGATTCAACCTGGAAATAAAGAGAAACTTTCTGACAGTGAGAACAATCAACCAACAGAACAGTTATCTTCAGAAGTCCTGGGAGCTTCATCACTGGAGGCTTTCAAGAACAGATTGGACTGCCATTTGTCAGAAGTGGAGTAGGGTCTCCTGCTTGGGCAGGAGGTTGGACTAGATGACCTACAAGGTCCCTTCTAACTCTTTTCTGATTGATTGATTGAACAAATATGTGCCAACAGTGTGGGGTGACAGCCAATAAAGCCAGTGCAATCCTAAGTTGCATTGAGGGATACAATCAAGATCAAGTGAGGTACTAATACCACTCTATAAAGAGTTAGTAAGGCCACACCTAGAATACTGCATCCTGTTTTGGTCACCACACTATAAAATGGATGTTTACACTCTAGAAAGAGCGCAGAGAAGAGCAACCAAGATGATTAGGGGACTGGAGGCTAAAACATACGATGAATGGTTGCAGGAACTGGGCATGGCTAGTTGAGTGAAGAGAAGGTCCAGGGGAGACATGATAGCAGCATTCCAATATTTGAGGGGCTGGCAGAAAGGAGGGGGTCAAGCTACAAAATGAAATTCAATTGTGAGAAATGTAATGTGCTATGTTTAGGAAAGAAAAACCAAATGCACAGGCACAGAATAGGTGATACCTGGCTCAAAAGTAGTAAGTGGAACAGGGATCTTGGAGTCCTACTAGACAATAGCTTAAATGTATGCCAGTAATGTCCTACAGTTCCCAATAGAATCAGAGGCTGCATTAAGAGACGGATAGAATCAAGATCACATGAAATGTTAGTACCACTTTAAAATGACTTGGTAGAACCTCATTTAGGAATACTGCATCCAGTATTGTTGCCACAATGTAAAGAAAGATCTTATGATTCTAGAAAGAGTGCAGAGAAGAGCAACCAAGATAATTAAGGGACTGGAAGTTAAAACATGCAATGAATGGTTAAAGGAACTGGACACGGCTAATCTAGTGAAGGAAAGGACCAGGGACATGATAGCAGTGTTTCAATATTTGAGGGGCCGGCACAGAGACGAGGGGGTCAAGCACCTGAAGGCCAGGCAAGGAATAATGGATGGAAACTCAACAAGGAGAAATTCAACCTGGAAATAAGGAGACACTTTCTGACAGTGAAAGCAATCAATCAATGGAACAGAAGTTTCCTTCAGACGTTTTGGGAGATTCATCAATGGGAGCTTTCAAGAAGAGATTAGATTGAGAACTGTCAGAAATGGTGTAGTGGGGTTAGAGTAAATGACCTACAAGGTCCCTTCAAAACTCTGTTAATATGTACCTTATGAGGTCAATAAATTACAAAAAGAACAGGGAGTCTAACAGTTCCTGCTATTGTGATACGTTTATTCCTAATTCTTGAAGGACTTCAAAAGAAATGCTGCTTGTAAACGAAAAGTTGGAGGAGTACCTAGCAGAAATAGATAACCAGAGGAAGCTATGCTGGCTCACAGCAACTTCAACCTGCTATTGTGATGTTTGTGTTATGGAAGAACACAAAAATAATCCAGTCCAAACAAGGGGGGAAATAGAAGGAGAGAGCACTCAGCACATCTACTTCACTTCCTGAAGGGAGAATGCAAATCTAATCTTTTCCCTTTCTTACCTGATTTGGAGGTTCAACTGCTGCTTGATCTCTGTCATAAGAACCAGAAAACTTCATTCTTTGTTTCTCTGTAAGGAATAAATAATTTCAAAATGCATATTTAATAAAAGAGGAGGAAGTGTTTTATAGAAGAGAGAGCGATGGTAAGACAGATGGGTACTTGGAGGATCTTCCATTACCTCCCGAGGTGTCCCAACTTAGATCTTCCCAGGGGATCCTCCTGAAAAAGAGCTCCTGAGCAGGATTTGATGGGTTCTTCTTTCCCTCAGGATCTCCGATCTCCACACTGCAGCACTTTATATAGGAGAAAGGAAAAAAGAATTAATGTTGATCAAATGAAGTAAAGTAGATTCTTATATTTGGAACTCAACCTCAAAGACCTCAATATCTATCCATTGTGGTTGAGTGAGAAAATAATGGAACAATGTTCTACAAGAATTGGTGGGACATCGTCATGTATTATGAATGTCAGAGAAGTTTGGGTAGGAGAGGTGAAGGATTCAAACACATTTTGTATTCTTTTTTGAGCTCTCTAAAACGTCTCACCTGCAACTGGACCTGCTCCTTCTGCTCCTCTGCCTGGCTCAGGAGGAAGCCTTCCGCTAGGGCCACTGCCTGGGAGCTGGTCTCTGCTCCACACTCCCGCACCCAACCCTCCATCTCTGGGGGCAGAAGAACCAGGAACTGCTCCAGAACCACCAGGTCCAGCATCTGAGCTTTGGTGTGCTTTTCGGGTCTCAGCCATTGCCCGCACAAATCATGAAGCCGGCTGCAAAGTCCTCGGGGACCCTCAGCCTCCAGGTATTGGAGGCTCCTGAAGTTGCATGGCTGGACTTCTGAAGGGAGGATGGTTTCCTCCTCCAGGATCTTCTGCCCAGGTCTTATCCAGATCTCCCCACCCTTCCCAAGCTGAATAGCTGAAGAGCCTTTTCCGCTTCCTTCCTTTGCAAAACATTGCGCCTCCATCTTTTCTCTCTCCTGCAGAGCAACTTAAAATGGGCCCAAGGACACTTGTCGATCTCCAGATGCTTTTTCCTTCACAGGATCATTTCTGGGGCAGCAGGATGGATCCCTGAAAGTTATTTCGCTCTTTTTTTCACCCGAGAGAAAATTTTGGCTTGCAAAGATTTCAAATGACTTTGAGTTTCTGTATCTGAGATGGAAAGAAAAACCAACTCCAAGAATTAAAAAGTGGAATTCAACCCTTGAACCCCCTTCCCACAACCTGCCCGGAGCCCCAAGCGGCTCATCCCAGGGTAGGGACCAGGTTCCCCCCCACCTCGAGTAGGGCCAGGAGGGAGGCAGATGGAGAGGCCGGCCCACTTCTCTCCTCCTCTGGAGACAGGATCGGGCCCTCGAAGAGTCTGGTGCGAATCCTGCCTCGTCCTCGCCGGCTTCTTTCCTCTCCTGCTGGGCCTCCGCGAGGCCGACCGTCCTCTCCCCCCACCGTACGCTTCCCCGGGCAAGGGGCGGGAGGGGACGGACCCACAGCGCCTTCCTCTTATCCCCGTCTCCCCCTGCATGGAGAGGGCGGCTGGAGAGCATGGGGTCCGGGGTTGAAGGCGGAGGTGGGCCGGGAGCGGGTCTTTCCCTCCTCCGCCTCCCTTTGCTCGGGAACCGCCCTTCCCCCTCACCTGGGGCACGTCTGGATCTCTCAACGCCACTCTCACGCAGCATCACCGCCGCCTGCGGAGCCCCAGCGGTTAAGCAGAGCGAGTGCGGCAGGGTAGAACAGCAAGCATTTGTGACGTCACTTCCTTCTAGGCCCTTCCCCCCCTCCCCCAACAAAGCCAGCTGTGACGTTCGCCTCCCAGTGGACCAATGGGGAAGGTGCTGGAATTCCCTTCTCTTAGTGGAGGTCGCCCCCGCCGCAAAGTTCCGGGATCGGAGAAAAGGCGGGAAAGAGGAGCGCGTCTGAGGGGAAGGGAGAATAGAAGAATACTTTATTGACCAAGTGTGATTGGACACACAAGGAACTTAAGAATCAAGAATCATAAAGTACAAAACACTTAATGATAGTCATAGGGTACAAGCAACAATCAAATCATACTAGGAAACAGTCAAGTGGGAGGGGATGGGTGATAAGGAGTGGTGAGAAGATTAACAGTAGTAGTGTACACTTTGTAAATAGTTGGACAGTGTTGAGGGATTTGTTTAGCAGCCCAACATCTGTCCTATTGGGTTGCAGAACCAAACCAGACAGTTATAGAGGTGCAGATGATAGACTCAATAATTCCTCTGGCGGGGATGATGGGCTTGGGAGTAGGAAAGGCACCTCTGAATGACTCCCTGCCTGTTGCAGGGACCCTGAACAAAATGAAAAAAGAAAACCAGTTCCAAAATAGAGGGAAAGTTGAAACTTCTGGATAATCTGGAAATTTTACCTCATAACAGGCCTCCTTAATTGAAAAAGGAAAAAGGTAAAATGGCATTTCACCTCTGACTAGAGAAAAGGTGGAGTTACACAATTAAGGAAGGTTGTGGGGAGGGAATATAAAGCTAAACCACTGAGGAAAAACAGCTTCAACTCAGGAGGATCCGAACACTTTAGTGTATTAGTAATTTTTAAAGCACCGAAAAGAAAGAATTATATGCATGTTTAGCAAGTAATGACACCAGTGATAAAGTAATTTTGTTCATTTATCGTTATACGTTTCCTATCATCTGGCATACCATAAAGACAAAAACATGTTCTTATTTTAGTCTTCAGGCCTTTAATCGATCTAGCTGCTCTTCTTTGCACTTTTTCCAAAGTTTCAACAACTTTGTAATACGATGACCCAAGCTGGATGCAGTATTCCAGGTGTGGTCTTACAAAGGCTTTGTGAAGCAGTGCTAATACTTCATGCAATTTTAATTTTACTCCTGTTTATACAACCAAGGATTGTATTAGCTTGTTTGACTGTTGCTGCACACAGGTGATTCATGCTCAAATGATCATCCATTCAGATTCCAAGGACCCTTTCACACTTACTATTTTTAGTCAGGTTGAAGGTAGTCTGTTTTTCCTGCTCAGGTGTAAAATGGATTTTGTTGGATTCAACCTTGTCTCATTTGGATCTGAAAGGCACAATATGCATAGATAAAAATCTATAGAGACATGGTGGGTTGGTTGCAGTACTATAGGCTAATTGCCCACAGCCACGAGTTTGATTCTGGCAGGCTCATGGTTGATTCAGCTTTCATCCTTCTGAGATGGGTAAAATGAGGACTCAGATTGCTGGGGACCATATGCTGACTTTGTAAACTGCTCAGAGTGTGGTATATGTAAGTGGAATTGGTATTGCTCTATAGTTTCTCCCAACATGGATCCTTTTATGAGAAATAAGACTGCCATTCTGAGCAAAGGTCTTTCCACATTCCCTGCATTTATATGGTTTCTTTCCTGTATGGATTTTGTTATGGCAAGCAAGGCCATACTTCTGAGCAAATGTCTTTCCACAATTCATGCATTTCTATGGTTTCTTTCCTGTGTGAATCTTCTTGTGGAACCTAAGTCTACCGCTCTGAGCAAAGGTCTTCCCACACTCCATGCATTTATATGGCTTCTCTCCTGTGTGGATCATTTTGTGGATAGTAAGTCCTCTGCTATTAGTAAAGGTTTTCCCACACTCCATGCATTTATACAGCTTCTTCCCTGTGTGGATCATCTTATGGCGAATAAGATTATCTTTTTGAGCAAAGGTCTTTCTACACTCAATGCATTTATACGGTTTTTCCCCTGTGTGGATTCTCATATGGGTACTAAGATGACCACTTTGAGCAAAGGTCTCTCCACACTGCATGCATTTATATGGTTTTTCCCCTGTGTGGATCATCTTATGGCGAATAAAGTTCACCTGTCCAGGCTGAAAGGAGGGCCTTTCCTAGTTTCCTCCTTTACAAACTATTGTGTCTCCATCCTTTCTCTTTCCTGCACAGCAACTCCAAATGGGTCCAAGGACACTTCTGGATTTCCAGATGCCTTTTCCTTCACAGGACCATTTCTGGGGCCACAGGATGGATCCCTGAAAGTTATTCCGCTCTTTTTTTCACCCAAGACAAAAAATTTTGGCTGTTTGTGCCCAGGTGTTTGCTTGGTTTGTGGTGTGGAGATACTTTTGTTTGTGAGTGCAGGCTTCCAGATAATTGACAGTCTGGTGGAGTCATCTCTTCTATTCATGCTTCCTAATAAATGATAGCCGTCCGTTTACCCAAAGCCAAGCCGCACTAAAAGCCTCCAATACAGGAAACACAATGTTGCTGACCCGGTGTACCCAAGGAACAAGAAGACTCAGGGAAGACAGCAGAATGGGGGAAAAGGGGAAATGAAGTGGATGACTACTGTGCTGGCCTCCTGGAGAGCCTGCAGATTCCCTTGGACACACAGCAGGTGGGCGAAGCAGCACCGGAGCCCATCTGGTCGGTGGGCACCTAGCCAAAAACTCACAGCAAAAGGCTGGCCACTAGGGACCTGTGCTGGGTGAAGGAAGATTTCAAGTGCCAAGGTTCTGAGTATGAAACTTCCCGATGATGATGAGGAAGCCAGTTATCACCGCCATCCAGAGGACCAGAGCCTGGATGAGTCAGGGACTTGGAGGTTCCACATGG